AATCTCTCGATGGCGCTCGTCCAGAAGGCTGTGGCGGAGTGTCATGATAGTATTTAATATGCTCTTTAATATGGTGGTGGAAATGTCCGATCAGAATTCAATAAAGTGTAACTTATAGCGCCTCGAAAGTCAAGGAAGAAAAGTGACTTTTTTATTGCTCCCCTGTATATGGTCTGGACCCTCACTAGAGGATTGATTGCTCCTGTTTCTTGCTTGAAACTCTGGGACTAGAAAATCAGGAACCACTACATGTGATAGCGGACTTGGCAGCTACATGCGATACAAGATGCAGTATCCCATCAGCTACTTCTACTCAGTCGAGGCTACCGCGTAGTGCACACGACAATGTGCCTACACACCTGTACTCAGTGAGGGCTACCGTGTGGCGCACGCGACAATGTGCGTAGCCAAACTGGTAGTTGTTTAGAGGTGGAACTCTCTTGCGAACAAAGCTGCCCGTTACTAACAAGCTTGAAGCTGGTGGAACCTGACAGAAAACCTTAGTAAAGCGGCTCGCAGTAGCGATAATTCTTACGATAAATTTGTTCCAGAAGCAACGGCTAGTAAGTCTTAGGTTACTCTCCATATACAATTCGCTACGTCTATCTGTCGGTCCGTCCATCTCCCCTTCTGTCCATCTCTCCGGAAACTCGGTTGTACTAAAGAGAACTTGGAGAGGTCAGGTGAAGATTGGGATGGGTGGGACAAAATGAACTGATTACAATTGACTCATGCTAAGCCCTGCCTACACTGCTCGGGAAATACGCTGAAAATGACTGGTGTCGCAGACTAACTTCATGACTCAGTCCAGAGCAGTTCTGAGATGGGGGTAAAGTGGGCTGAGGTTAGCAAGCGGCTCTTATTGAGGGGAGGAGGCAGACTCTCCCGCTGTAGAGGACGTGCGCTGAGATGGGCGGAGCGAAAGTCGAAAATTCACGAACCGGTTCCAGAGCTGCTTAGACACCGGGAAAAAGTAGAGTGAGGTCATCAAAGGGTCTACGGCGGGATCGATAAACTATCCTCCTGATGGGCGGACCGTACTAGGGATGGGCGGATCTGCTGGAGAATCCATAGCTAGCTCCTGAAAGAGTTTGGAGATCGGAAAACGTGATCGCAAAGAAAAATATCTGGCGAGAGCTGGGCAAGTCTGTGCTGCGCTGAGGCCCGCCCTCTGATGGGCGGAGTGTACCGTCAAGTGCCCCCTCGATAAGGCATCCGTTCAGGAGTAGCATCATTATATCAGGACAGCAGCCTCTCCCCTCCCTACCGAGTGGGACGAACGCCAAAAGATAAAGTAGTTGCTTCGAACCACGTTTTCGCAGTCTCTCAGATTCTATGGCCCCGTCGATGGACTCGATGACAATTTGAAGAGAGCTGTCGAGGGCAATATCGAATGTAGTACCATCAGATCCTGTGCTCCAGAAACGAGTTTTCCAAATAATAGACTCGAAAATAAGGACTTTACTAGTATTTGTATTTAGCTGACTATGACAAGCCTCCTTACTCGAGAGCTTATACGAGAAATTATGAAAGAAGCACGAATAATGCGTGACCTTCATCACGTCAACGTTGTTGCTATGATAGGTGTTGTACTTATCGACCACCCACTATACATCCTGCTGGAATATGTTTCAGGTAGTGTTCCTTGTTCCCGTCGGGGAGAAATTACAATTTTTTGATGGAAAAATCACATATCTCACCTCAGCGGCTTCCATCGTTTTGCAGACACTCACATCAGTAACTGAAAAATTTCTTTCCGATCAGGACTTTCCTGACTATAGCTTCTGACCGAGCATTAATTTCGCGATTTTGCTAAAAGAGTTTTCCAATGAGCTTTCCTTCCACATGATCTTCATTGGTTGCCTTTCAGTATTCAGAGACGAAACGTACACTCACCTCCTCACTGGACCCATGCCATGTGCGAGATGAATAGTCCCGTAGCTGCGTGGCGTGTCAAATTTTCCTCTCAAAAATGTCACCGGGGCTGGAGAGTAGTTGTACCACGGCGCCGATCTGAATTTCACCTGCTATCTACAATATGCCCATATGCGTGTCGACGCCGAGGCTACACAGCGAGCAACGTGAACGACCAAATGCCTACCACGGCTGAATTTTGAGAACAACCAAATCAATTCCTTTTTGAGATGCGGCGTGCATTCTGTCATGTGTCATCAAATCGATCCGGTTATTGGTAGTTACTATGTGTCTCCTACAATGACTTGCAGCGGGCAGACGTACAAGCCAGTGATCTTATCCTCGCAGATGAATCTGGAACCACTTTACCGTCCGCGGGGCCTAGAAGGCTTGGCTGACCTGGGCGGGAGTCGACCGGGTGTCAAACTTAGAACCGCGCAAGCGGCACTTTTCACTACACCACCTCTGCATCCGAACGTATATAACAGACAGGAAAGAGGCATGAGTATAACTAGAGTGAGGGCTCAGGCAAGTAAAGCGCCTGACTAGTTACACGTGTGTCTCGTCGTGAACCGCGTTGCGACCGCTGGTTTGGCGTTGGGTGAAGTCTAGTACGATATAAGGCTATTCCCACTACTCAGCCTCGTTTGAGTGGAGAAACGATGCTGAAACGGCACGCTGCTGCATGTGCGAACCATCCACCTCGCGCATGGCGTGAACCATATCTTTGAAGATAAGCGTACGGTATGTCTTTAAAGAGCTTCCCCCGACCCGATTGATTCTGAATGAGAGTTCATCAGAAAAGCAAAATCTAGGAGGAAATATCCCTCTATAGCTTTAGTCCCTTCCTGCTCTGTTCAGCACAGCATTCAGGTGGCGCTCTCGATGTGTATTTGAAAAGAAAACATGCCAAGATCACCAAGGAGGAAAGAATAGCAATGATGATAGGGATTGCATCTGGAATGGACTACATTCACAAAGCAAACATCATACACAGGATCTTGCGGCAAGAAATTGTCTCTACGATCGGAGTCATACGGTAAGGAAAAGATTCCTACTGTATTAGGCGAGAACACTTAAATACGTTCATCTTCGGACGGCCACGCTCAGCACTCCAGAAGATTTGTTGAGCCAACAAGTTCTCTTCTTCTCAGATCATGGTAATTAGTCGGGGTGGTATTCAGGAAGGAAGGAATGAAGGCGCACGCAGCGTTTTTCGCTGAGCGGGGGGTTGGTTCCACCCTCTACTGACACCGCCCCATTTGATTGTCGCGTTTTCAACTACACAATGAACTAGATGATTCCCATTTGTGCTTTTGCCAGCAGTTTAAACCCAGCAAAAAGTTTTTTGGAAATTTTTTTCGTACACTGAGCACATGTCAGTGGACAGCTTTCCAGGTGAAAATCTCAGACTTTGGTTTATCGCGAAATGGTAGCGTTTACAAAATGAAAAGTGCACAGAAGATGCCTATCAAATGGATGGCGCCCGAGAGCATTCTAACGTTCACCTTCACCCAAAAGACGGATGTTTACACGTTTGGGGTACTTTCTAACTTTTCTCACAGGAGTCCATTTCTCACAGGAGTCATTGAAAACACCAATTATGTTAAGGTCCTAACCTACGAAATATTTGCTGCAATTGGTCCATATGACGATCTGAGAAACAGTGTTGTAAAAAAGATGGTCAGTGCCTGTTCAAGCTATAATGTGCCTGAGTTTCAGAAGTTGACGCTGGGTGTGAACGGGGATGTTGGCAGGGGGTTTGCTTTCGTGGCGCCTCCCCGCGCTAGCACGTAACTCCTGCAGAGTGATATATCTCTAGTGCTTACGGGACCGGATCTACTTGTTTCAGGGAGGCGTCTGCCATTACTAAACAACACGGGACTGCTCCTCTGAATAAGAGAAGGAAATCTGATAGCCTTATTGTTCTTCAGACTTGTGAGGGGTAAACGTGAAATCAATTTCCGACGCTCTGCTCCAGACATACGTGACGTGAATTTTGTCAAGCGAAAGAAGCTTATGTGTAAAGACCCTGACAAGACCCGATTTTTCTTCGGTCAGTTTCAAATATAAGATATACGACGAATACAGTACGACAGATATCGTTACATACGGCTAGGCTTTTTGACGGATGAATGGCTTCAGTACGGGAATGTGAATCCAGATTGTGTGAATAGTTTTTGAAGCTGTTTTGTTATGATAACTGCTGTTTAACGCCGCAGTTCGCGTTCCGAATGTTATCACAAGAATGCTGAGTTATGGGCAAAAGTCGAACCCCAGGCGGGAGTCGAACCCGCACCTCACGCTTTCCGGGCGAGTGCGCTATCCGTTACGCCACCAGGGCCGCTTTTACCCTCTCAGCTTAACGGCTTTTATGCCGTTAGCCTTACAGCACTCACACGTTTAACTTGGTGAGCCGGTCAGCCGTAATCGTTAGATATTGGCAATGAACCGCTAGGCCGAAGGCTTTACAAGTTTCTGAAGCTGTTATACCGCTGATGTGTAGGTTTTACTACTTTTGGGTCCTGACGGTAAAGTTGTCGCATCGAGAAACTGAGCTTTTTTGTCGGGCCTTTTTCTTGCATTGAAACGAACTGTGGGAGCTGCAGAAATAGATTCGTGGTCGAGTGGAGATGCTTTTTGAGACCGCCTCAGAATAGTGTGAAGGATGCAAAAATGGCCTGTCGCTCTTGCCCCGAATTGGACCGTACGCCCCGGAGTTCCACGAGTTTCACGACTTTAAATGCAACATTGCACATTATAATCAGTGGCATCATAGAAGTATTTGCATGATTTCTGCCAAGTCCCTCGCCATTTTGCGAGGATCATTGTTCATAAGAAGCAACTCTCGTAGAGCTTGGAAGGGCGTCAGGTCCAGTACATATCTGGCGGAATAGGAATCGCCCCTTCGGGTAACTAAGACCGGTAGGTCGTTAACAACGTGCAATCGTTAGCAATTAGCAGTTGAGCTGCGCTTCTGATACCTCTTTTTTGAACAGAAATTCTGTATCCGCCATGGACACTCTGCCTTCTCGTTTACAAAAATAAGGACCTTAAGAAAAAGTCAGGGCTTCTAACTCAGAGGAGCAGCTCAGTGATCTCAGAGCTCTAGTCACCCGCTGTCTTGAGGTATCCGTAATTGAACATTCTTCTTCGTTTTGTAAGGCAAAATATTTTAGATAGTGGCGGATTTGGAAGCGCTAGCAACAGGGATGCAGGTGACAAACTGATGCTGCAGATGATCACGCATCACAAGCAGTGAGCTCTTGAATATACGCATACAGTACGCTTACACTAAATATTCCTGGTCCTTTGAAATGTGCAGGTGCGCGGTGAACAGATTATCAGCTCTATTGTACCACTTCCGTCACTTGATAAAGGCAACAGGATAGCTCTGGCCCTGATCAACTTCCTTTGAGATGCGGCAGATTTTACTTCCATTCAGAATCTCTAGTTCGTCTTTTTGCAGACCTTATTACATGAATTGGAAAGCGGGCAGCCGATGGACGAATCAGTGTTCTTATCCTCCCAGACCACTGTGGTACCAAGTTACCGTCCTCGCAGGGTAGTGGGCTTGATTGGCCTGAGGGAAGGAACCCATTCAAGATTTAACCCACGGTTCGGCGCGTGGCAAATGTGCCACTTGCCACTGCACCATCTCCGTCTCTCGTCAGTGCGAAGAAAAGACGGTGGTGGGTAGGGTCAGCTGGCGCCGCGTGTGTCTCCGCCTGCAGGCAAAACGCGCAGACACGTAACATGCCGCACGGTCTAGCCAAAGCAAAACGCGCTTCTTGCTTGTGCCCATTGACGTTCGCTTTTTCTCTGGTTTGACTGCTATGTTCGCTTTTTGGCTGCGTACCTTCGCGAGATTCTGATATCGACGTAATGGGTGCTCCTTGGAAACAGCTCGTGCATAGATGCCATCTTCGTCGAGCTACGACTACCCTCCAACCACATGAGCGCGCGCTTTTAAGGGCTGAAAGTGTCACGGTTGTACAGCTGTCAACCCGTTCCCCTCGCGTGTGGCAAGGAATGTCAGGAGTGAGCGTTCATTCGGTCTTCAAGCACGTGTACCTTTTGACGAATTTTGAAAAAAAGTTGTGATTTTGATTCAACTATGGGACTTTCTTTACTCAGATATTTTTCCAGATCAGTGAAGGAAAAACTACGGCGACGATTGAAATAGATGTGGCAGCCAAGCCCAAGGATGAATCTAAGAAGCCAGATACCGGCAAATCTCCCGAAAGTAAAACGAAAGAGGTGCAGTCTGCAGAATCCAAAAAGGCTAAGGAAGTAGTTGCACCTCTTAGTAAGGAAACTGCAAAGAAGAGTGAGAAGGAAATCCCATCGTCTTGTTCTTCGAAAGGAGTGAGCCCTGCTATGAAGAGTCCGAAAGAACCCGTGAAAAAAGACGGAGCAACGGCTGAATTGACTATCACACAAATCGATATTGATTCACGCCGGGAGAAGGACGATTTCAAGGATGTAGAAATTAGAACAAAGCCAGTGTTTGGCAGAAGATCAAAATTTAGTGAGTGTTTCTTTTGTATGCGCTGGCGGAAACTAGACTTCAGATTCCTTCATAACCAACTTAGATTCTTGATCCCTGAAAACGATAGCGCGTGTGACGGAGGCATGATAAGTCAGTTTCAGGCTCAGGATGACATCGCCGGTGGGAAAAAGCGACCTGGGTGCTCCGCGATCCGCGCCGCGTCGCAAGTCTACCGTTTACATGGATCATGTCTGCACTTACGCGCTGACGCGTTTTTCAGAAGTCTGGATCAAAATTTGTAAACTTGGCCTGATCGATGTTCGTAGGGATATTCCTGTTAGAGATCCATGTAAAACGGGGCCTAATCTTCGAGAAAACTTTCCTCACGTCAGAGGTCAGATAGTTAAAATCCGATTGTCTCACAGAGTACAGCCATTATCAGTGCAAACGATAGGGCGTGTTAAGGGAAGTGGAGGGAAGCGAGGTGGAGCGCAGCCACAGCAACCCACTCGACTACCGGCTCAATCTGTATAAAGAACTTCGCGCGATTCTGATATTTGGGGTGAAGTACGGAAACAAGACATTTATCGGTGTGTTGCAGAGCGGTCGAAGAGGTGATTGGTGAAGGATTCAAGCACAGTTTTCCACTTCAATTACAACGTTACTGTAATAAAAAAATAAACTCCACATTACTAATTTACATTTAAATAAATGATTTGCAATTTCTTTGTTCCTCTTATGCACAAGCACACTGGAGAAGCGAAAAGTGACGGAGAAGCGACGATTTTCCTTTCATCGAACACGAGCAACTGGCTGAGAGACCACGTGATACTGGTTGTGATTACTTTTCCGAACATTTGCGTGATCCTATGCTGGCAGCGTTACCAGAACACTCATTGTCAGTGCTGACTGCTTCTGTAATCATTGGATCGCGTCGCGAGACAGCTTTGTGAACAGCTACGCTTTTCTTCTTGCATAGCAGTGGCAGACAACATGTTCGTAAAACAAGCCAAACAGACTATAGCATATAAGCTGTTTTGACTCGATGAGTCGAACTGTGAATTAGTATAAATATAAAATAATAATTAACAGAATCAAGCTTTAAGCAAAAAATACAATTCCATAAGTAAACGGTACATTAAACAGTCAGTCCTTTTGCTATCACCAAATCAAACAGAAGTAATAGCAGGCGCGCCACGCAAGCAGAACAGCTACCACCAAAGTAGTGCTCTATTACAGGGGAGAGGTGTAATGAATAGGGCTAGCTCAGAATAGAAGGGTCCCAAAGCTATGGTCCGTCTCATTAATCAGTAAGAGAGTAGAATAGATGTACTCTCTCTAGCACTCGTGTCAAGAACCTGAATCAACAGTGCTTGCAGCCATTTGAAACAGGCAAGCGATCTCGAGTTAGTAAGGCAGCTTAAAGACAGCTCCCGCGATAACAGTGTCAAGGATAATTGCTGATCAATTACTAACAGTAGCTGATAAGTAATTCCTCAATGAAGGAAAAAAGAAACAAGAGCCCTCAAGAACACCATAAACAAAATCGCGACCTGACAGTCACACCTCCCTGCGGTCTCTGTGCAAGCCCTGGCTCACAAATCACTTTGTCACATCTCCCAGTAGTGGATATCATCGAATGCGAAGAAAAGAAAACAAAAAACAACAGAAACATAGAGGAAAAACTCTTGAAAAGGAAACATTTAAAAGCCGGCGTCCGAACTTAGGGTTACGGTAGCGAGCATGTTTTAGTGTAGTGAAGTGCGTCGAGCTTTTGCACCACAGAAATTGCATCATTCGTGATTTTTACGCGTTTTACCTTACGAGATGGGTTGCTGTTGACTGTACGTGCTCCCAATGAATAAAATGTGATGAAGGAGAGCAGAATTATTTACGAGATCGCGTCAGCAAAAAAACACATGCACTTACCGTTAATGATTGATGTCCCAACAAGAAAACTGACGCTCCGCCGTCAGAGGGCAGCTAAACTAGTCGAGGCGGTCCAAATGGAGGCGTATAACTAAACTTGATCCGTTCTGAGCCTCGCTCCGCATCGCTGAGGATCGCGAGGTGGCAGTTATCTAGCTTTCGTTCTGAACTAAACCTGCCCAAAAGGATGAACCATATCTACTTAGCGCGGGGGCCTGTCTTCAAAGCCGCGTTCAACTTGATGCGTCGCGCTAATCAAGCGTAGCGCTACAAGCGCCGTTCGAATACGTACTGCTATTTCCAACGTTAGGATGATTAGAGTTGCTTACAGAGAAAAGTGGGAAGGTTGCTGGAGTTTCTTGAGAAATTCACGGAAAGGTGAGACTGATACAGCTGTAAGTGATTCTGGCGACATCCTTGACAGTTACTTCATTAGTCACTATTTTTCTGGTGCTGCGTTAAGCGTGAAAGTGTCCTTCTGTCCTATTAAGCATTTTCTGCAAAAAACACCCAAAGAGTACTCGCGCCACCTAAAAACAAGCACGCATGTTTTTTTTTTACCGGAGACACAAGAACCATAAAGGAACTTCTTGTTTGCCTTGTGTTAACGCATTGGTGACCAGACAGTCTTCGCGTGCCTGTTGTGGGAGATAAGGCCATTTTTTTCTTGGTCTGCCTGACAAATGCAGATCAATACTGATACGCTCCTAGCCAAAAAAGTACAAGAACCTGTCAAAGCTTTGTTGACTGTGAATGCCTCGAAAACCGGCATAAATTTTTTTTCCTGTGATCCAGCAAAGATTGGGCAAACTCGAAAAGCAGATTTCGCTCCATAAATCGATGCAAAAGCCATCAAACATCAAGCAACTGTGAAACCAAATAATTAAAGTCAAAAACGATAAATAAAACCAATTATCACAGTCTTCTGTATCAAAAACTACATTAAAATGTGATAAAGTAGAAAACAGGAGCTCACTATCAGATAAATATGAGAACAAAAGAGAAGAGGATTGAATACAGAAAGAATGAATACAGAATCCAATGCCGCTTATCGATTATGGAGCGAAATCTGCTTTCGATTGCCGCCCGCCCCGGCCCCGTCCGCCGCCCGCCTGCAATCTTCCGGATCACAGAAAAAATTTATGCGGTTTTCGAAGCATTCAAGCCACAAAGCTTTGACAGTTCTGGTATCTTTTTGGCCAGGAGCGACCGAGAACTGCCATCGCGAAGTCTGAACCCTCCATTGAAGATTCGTGTGCGCCTTCAAGAACTGTGCGGAGTATGTGAAAGAGAATCGTGATTCCCGCGCTGTGGCGCGCGTGCAACAACTGCTTCTGCAAGTGACGATGTCCAAGGATAATGGCGACAACAGGCAAACTCAGAACCGAATATGGCATGAAATGTCACGATACAGGGTCCACATGAAAGTCCGGGCTCGATTCGACAGGTTAACACGAGGCTAAGGAAGCGCCGCGCCCATCGCCGCACGCGGCCGAGCGGCAAATTACGACTCTCTTGCCCATCTTCCCCATGAATGTTTTTAGACTGCCTGGTTTGTAGCAATGGTGTGAACATGATGATTGATTCAGTGGTAGGAGAAATGGTAACATGATATCACTCGACGGAATTATGATAAGCTCTTTGTGCGCAATGGGAGAGTAACATTCATTGCATAAGTTTGTCTTCTCACAACAGCTGTTTCCTTGCATCTAATCCATTAGAATAGGTATGTTTCCAAACTTGTTCGAAACCCGCAGGAGCAACTCCTTTCACTAAAATTCTCATACAGTTTAGAAACGTCCCGTGAAAATGATACATGTAACAAATGTGAACATTAACCTGAACCCAAAGCAAATGACGCCAAAAGCCTTTGATGCGAGCTGATGTCTAGAGTTTCCTGGCGTAGCTTCGAGTACGATTACGAGTTGTTGCTTTTTCAATGAGTTGAAGACGACTGGACCCTTGGACGCTAGAAAAAAATGACATGAATATGAAAAATTCCATCATTGAGATGAATATCAATTAACTTACTGTCGGAAGAAACCCGATGGTAGGTGTGCTAGGATAAAATGGTAAGAGTTTGACCAAAGAATTTGTTCAGCTTGGAGAGGGGAACCATACTAGAACTAGCTTTCGCCACCTTGCTCATCGAACGGTCGGGATAAGGTTCTCTCCACCAACAAAGGACTACTCATTTCGACGGGTGAAGACAGAGTTTTCGGTCATACGACGTGTAGAAGCCCTTCAATGCACAATAGTGGGTCTGAGCACCGCTCAATCTCACTACTGCGATCTGCCGCCAGGTTTCCAACTTTCGCGATTCGGAGGTGTTTCATAAAAGCGCCACGACGATAAGCTAACTTCGCCGG